CTGCCATCATCTGGTCTCTGCGGCTGTAATTGTTAATTTTTCCTTAGGAGCCACTGGTGGATTCGAACTGCTGGATATTCAGCCTTTAGGTTTGTACACAATACACTGTGAGGACCTCTAGAAGCGAGGCCTAGAAAACCTGTGAATGAATATGCCTCAAGTTGATTGTGATACTTGCTAAGTATCGAGAACCACTGCTTTAGAGCCAAAAGCCCGCTGCTTTCAAGCCAATCGTGACCGTGTGGGTCTGCACCTGCACAAGCAGACTGACTGATATTTCTCCCATGGAGTGGCAGGCGAATTTGAACCTTCAACCTTTTACTCCATATCCAAATGAGTTAACCTCTGTGTTATCAGTGCTGCTTCTGTTTTACAAGGATTCCAAATCTTGGCTGTACATTAGAATCATTCAGGAAGACTTTTGGGACTCCTAATGACCATTCTTAACCCAGACCGGTTACATCAGAATCTTTTGGAGTGAGATTGAGGTAGCAGTATTTTTAAACTTTCCCAGGTGATTACCATATTCAACCAGGGTTGAGTTTCACTGCCCTAAAGGGTAAGGATGATGTTTCCTACAAGAAACTATAAGCATTTGGAAATAACTGGTATTTAGTAATTGTTCAGATTCAAGGTAGGTATTTAAATGAAAGTCTCAGGCAGAAAATACTGGGGGAAGGTTTGGAAGGGGTGAGGCAATGAATGAATGATAACACTCTAAAAGTCCAGTATGTCAATTATGTGATGAGGGAGAAAACAGGAAGACACAGAGTTTGGAAAGCCTTAATGTTCCTGCTTGCCTTCTGCAGCTGAACCAGGAAAGAAGTGACACTTTCACATAAACTACCTTCCTGCACTGAGGTCCCTTCAGAGAGGGTTGATTATGCCCCTGCTGTTATTAAGAACATGGACGTCTGGAAAGGTCACTCAGCGGAGATGTAGCACCTTCAAGATTCGGACCAGGGCTCCCTTTTGCCAATTTCCCAAATTCTGACTTCTTCAAGTGTCATCTGATGTCTCACCTGTTTCGTTTTATTGTATTTGCCTTTTTGTTTGGAACAGATAAAAAATAATGAACCTTTGATCAACGTGCTTTACAAAGTGCTGAAGAAGTCAGCACGGGGCTGTCGGCCCAGGAGAAGCGTAAGATGATCTGATCTGTGTCTCCAAGCGCGGCATTCCATTGCTTCTGGCTCAGTGCCGACTCCATCACTTGCTTAACCAGGGGCTCTCCTGACCGCCCCCAGGCTTCCTGCAAGTCATTTTGGTTTATTTTCTTTGTATTGAAGCACTCTTCAGCATTTTGGCCGATGCACCAGGCTGAGCCTCTCATCTGTGTTATTCTGTGACTCCATCTTTTGTGCTGCCAAGGGGTGGGGGCGCTTGCCTGGCTTGCCACCAGCTCATGTCATGTTTCCATTCTCGTCTGTCTGCCTCCACGCCAGGGCTACTCTAGGCAACAGTGTGGTCTGCAGAGGGGAGCATGATTTCCTGGAGGGAATGGGGAAGCAGCAGTCACTGGTTCCTTTAGAGAAGCCAGGGTCTCTTCGGGTTCCATCGTGGCCCTGGGATATAGCTGCTCTGCATTGGGACAAGGTCATGGGTAGTCCCATATTGCCCTTTTGACTGACAATGCCCCTTTGAGAAACATAGCCAACTTGCCTAACATCCCAGGAGAAGCTACAGGTTGGGAAGCAGGTACTGTATCCAAGCATTTAAGTCCCAAGAAGGTGTCTTGGGCAGTGGTGGAGTTGAGGTAAGATGACCTTTCACTCCCCCAAATGCAGAGACTCTTACAGATATATGAGTGATTTTGTGACTATTTTTTTCCTGTCACAGAGTTGCTGGGAGGCATAGAGTAGACATCATAAATATATTTAAACATTACTATATCACAAAGTTCAGTCTTCAGAGGAAAATTAGTTGCAATACACTACTTGTGGTAAAATATTTCTTAGTAATTTTAGCTTTATGAAACAGAGCTAAGTTCAGAAGCTTCAAGGGCAACCTGAGCTGTATATAATCATGAAACCCATGCTCAAAGCCCATGATCTTTTTACTCCAGAGAAAGAAGTCTCAGACTTAGCAAAGCCAGCTCATCCTATTTGATATTCTCACTGACTAAGTAAGCAAACATTCCTGAATATCCTCAGTGCTATGGGGCTTTGGGTTGGGCTTTGAGGATACAGAGAAAATACATCACAGTCCCCACAGCCAACCCTAATTAGGTGACTGTCTAGTGAGGAAAGGCAGACAAGCAAACAGAATAATCTCCTCAGCTAAGTACATAGTACTGGCAGGTACAAGGTGTGTGAGCAACACCTCAAAAGCTATCAGACCTCCTTAAAGGGAGGGGACCGTAAGGGAAACAACCCTCCTCATGTCACCTGCCACTGTTTTAATTCTAACACATTTAATCACTTGAATTCCTCACTCTTTCTTGGCAGCTAAAAAGCAGCACATTAAAAGAGGAAAAAAGAAAGTTACATCTTAGAAAAGATGGGGGTGCTGGTATCCCAAGAGTGAACAGAAACAATATATATTAATCTGAAGCAAAAATGAAAGCACAAAAACTGAGGAGGAGTTAATAAAAGATCAAATAGTCTTAAATACTACTTTCTAAGGGATTCTATATTACTGATTTATGTAATGAGCCTGATTCATCCAAAAAAAGCTGAATTTTTATTCAGTATTTTTATGGAGGCAAGGAAGGATATAATTTTAGAGAGCTTTCCATCAGCTGATTTCATTGAAAAGATTCAGCTTTCTCAAAAGGCTCTTTTTGTGTGTGTAGAATACCTCGATCTTCCTGCTGGTGCTGGGTAAATGAGGCATTGCTCAGTTAGATTCTCTCTTACTGTTTAAGTGTCCAAGAGAGATTACTTGTAAAAAGCTTCAATGAAATAAGGGGAAGAGTTTCTGCTGAGGGGAAAAGTCCCCAAAGCCAATCTCAATTGGAAAATGATTTCTACTTGGGGAATGATCGAAGGGTCAACCCATTTGGAGAATAGATGAGCTTGTGACACAGTGAAGATTTCACTGCCTTTACTTGCTTTTGTCCAGGTTCCCTTGAGGTTAAAAACTTAAGTCCTGCCTGAGATATTTAGCTTTTGGGGTTCTCTGGGAGAACTGGCTTTTTTCCAGAAAGATTAAGTCCAAAAAGCCTATTGGGCCAGTTCTCCTGACACACAGGTTCACTATGAGTCAAAATTGGCTTGTTAGCACCCAACAACAGTGCGGGGATTAACTCTGCCATCTCCTCTTCTTTCCTCTCCCCGTCTTGGCACAAGGCAGTGCAGTCTGTTTGTTTGTGACTTGTTTCAGTGGTCCATGTGTTCTGTGATTGTGTGCATACATGTATTTACACATAATCTGCCTGTCTGAAGAGCAGAATTTGGCTGGAGTTCTACTTGTTTTCCCCTCAGGAACTCCATAGCTTTGACCTATGTATTTTTCCCCCTTGCAACATGCAGCAGTTCAATAAGCATTTGCTGAGTGCATTCCAATGTGCCAGGCCTTATGTAGGGGGATAATTTTCCAAGATAAATAAGGCAATGTACCTGCCCTGTGTTGGGGAGCATGGGAACGAATTGAGGTGGGTCTGTGGGCCAGAATAAATCCCAAGCTCAAAGCATGAAGAGGTCATACTCTATTTACCTTGACTTTTGGGTTTGCTGCTGCAAATTCTCAAGAAGAGGAGCCTAGAACAGTTGGGTACCTGAGTGATTTGACCTCTGAGGAAAATATTTGCCAAAATGTTTCTGATTCACACTCACAAATTTCCTGGACCTCCCAGAGAGAATGAGTAGAAAGCAAAGGCTATGCATCCAGAGCTGTCTGTCCTTCCACACTGGAATATTCTGAATAGTGCACAGCTCTTATCCCTGCTGGTTAGCTTCATCTTCATTTCCCTGGTCCCATCAGATCTGCAAATTGGAGTTCATTGAGGAAGTTTCCCTTACATGGTGCAGATTAGACATGGCTAATGCTCACCTGGTCTTGTCCATAGATTTGCAGCTGAGGGGGAAATGTGCCTCCAGCCCAGTTTTTAAAAAGAAGGAGATTTGGGGGAAATTAAAACATAAAGTAAAGAGATTTAGGCTCTTACTAGTCAGAGGGTTGTAATGGGAAATAAAACATTCCACCAACCTATATTTAGATAAGGCGCCTTGGTGACAATATGGTTAACTTCTCAGCTGTTGACCACAAGATTGACAGTCTGAACCCACCATCCATGGGAAATGGATCACAGCTTTTCTGTTCTACTCAGTTCTTTTCTGTCCTGTAGGATCACAGTGAGTCAGAATTGACTCAACAGTAATGAGTTTAGTTTCTTTTTGTGATTTAAGGGATTTTTGTCATTGTGGTTTCTTCCCTTGAGAAGATAGTAATTAATAATTGTAATTAATGCAAATCTGGCAGAGCCTCAGTTATTCAAGGATCAATTAAGAACACCAGCCAGGAATTATTCAGGGTCGTTCTTCACTTAGTCAGATCCTCTTTTGAATAGTGTGTAGGATGAGGAGGGTCCTCCCGTCAGTTTGCCTCACTGGGAAATGGGAGGGTCAGGGATCTAAGTCAAGGCTCGGGATTTACTTGTCACATGGACTTACATAGCTTGTGTTTATCCACAGATTCAGTAGCAAAATTCTGCTTATCAGTGGTACATCTTCCAAGAGTCATGCTGGTTTATCACATTCATTTTGGGCAAATCTGTAACTTCTACAGCGGATCATTTTAGGACTTCAGATTTATATTCTCTTCACTCTGAGAAATTTACAAACATTACTAGGATTACAGAATGGTTTTGAGTTTTCCCTAAAATGAAGTTAGGCATAAAAAGCAAAGGCCTTGCCCAAGTGTTTGCCCGTCTCACTCCATGACTCTCCTCACCACTCCTGGGTTCCCTGCTCACCCATCGTAGGCCTACTTTCCTCCCTGAGTTCGGACCTTAATTTTCTGAGTACTGCGATTAAATCTTTAAATTGTTCATCTCCCAGATGACAGGCCGGGACCTTCTCAAGGATCGAAGTCTGAAGCCCATGAAGATTGCAGAGAGTGACATTGATGTGAGTGAGCAGAGGGACAGGCTGGCCCCTCAGCTGCCTCCTAACCCAGGCCCAGGGTGGGAGTTCAGGTAGCATTTGGATGGTCTGTAGCCAAATGCTTTCTAGTTACTCTCCTTGGGCAAGCCTTTTTCTCATCATCCCAGTCTGCTCTCCAACTCATTCTTGATTACAGGTCAAACTAAGTGTCTTCTGTGAACAAGACAGGATCCTCCAGGACTTGGAAGACAAGATACGAGCCCTTAAAGAGAACAAAGTACGCATCAGTTTTGTCTGTTCTTGGCCTGGGAGGAAGGGGATTTTGCCATTTGCCTTCTTTCAGCTAGAGACTGGGCTCTCTGCTGGCACTGATCAACAAGAGTCAGTTTACAAGGAGCATTGACTCTGAGGTTAAAGAATGCTGCTTGGGGTGGGGGTTTCTCTCTTCAGTGCAAGAAACTTTGTAAGGAGGCCATAGCTCACTTATTCTAAATACCACACCCTCACTCTGCTCTGGCCCGCTTTGCACAGTAGGCCTTGTAGGATGAACTTGGGAGAGAAAGACTAAGTTATATGTGGTGACTCAGGACCTCTGAACTCTTCAGAAAATGGAAAGACTGCCTATGGGAGAGTAGGACAAATGCTCTCAGCTCTCTAAAACTTGTTTGTCCCTAGGCTCCCACATGTGAGAGAAAGCAAATCCAGATGAGAGAGCAGCAATGGGCCCAGAACTGCCAATGTTTGTTCTCTCAGGGATATTGTTAGTTTAGGCCATATTGGTCTTAACTCATTGTGACCAATGTACAACAGAGCAAACCCCCTCCTCATCCTGCACCATTCTCACAATCTCTCCGTGCATTAAGCCCATCGTTCCACTCAATATGTCAGTCTGTCTCCTTGAGCATCATCTTATCTTTTACTTAACCTTTACTTTTCCAAAATGTCTTTTTCCTGTAACTGGCCTTTGCAGTTTTACAGAAAATTCTTAAAAGTAATTTTATTTATAATATCAAATGTTTATGGCACATAAACATTCCCCTGAGAGCTTAAAGAATTTTACATATGTTTTATTTATCCTTATAGTTTGGCTCATAATACATTGGATGACCATATACCCACTTTACAGATGAGGAAACTGAGGCAAACTTGTTCAATAATTTCTGAGCAGAGACTGTGATTCTCAGCTCTCACGCTCAGCTCTGACGCTTTCAATCTAAGTTCAATTCCAGAGATTTGCTTGGTTCTGGATGTGGTGAGGGGAGACATCTGGGAATAGTGAGTGCTCTTATCCTCTTTGCTGATTTTCTGGAGCAGGACCAGCTAGAGTCTGTGCTGGAGGTTTTGCACAGACAAATGGAGCAGTATAGAGACCAGCCTCAGCACTTGGAGAAGATATCCTTCCAGCAGAGATTGCTGCAGGAGGACCTCGTGCACATCCGGGCAGAGATCTCCAGAGAGTCCACCGTGCGTATGAGTGAGGAGGGTAGCACTTACCCTCATCGGCTGGGCCAAGGCTACCTTTCTCATCTCCCACCTTGTAGTTGAGTTGATGACTGGAAGGGAGTGTCTCAGAACAGCAGACATGGTCTAGGTCATCTCCAGACAATCACGTTACCTTGTTCAGAGATGCCATACGTCTGTCTGTTCCTTAGCCTGCCACAGTGCCACCTAAGGCATCAGAATCTTTTGATATGGGCCCTTTTACCAGAGCCAGGAATCCAAGAATCCCCAAAGGTGGGATGGGACAGTGTAGGTGACCAGGATCAGAACACAAATTACCGCACTGTCGTGTTTCTCCCCTTGCTCCCCCGCACCACCACACGCACACCTGAGCGAGGTCGGTGTCTCTTCCCTCTTTTCCTGGCTGGGTCAGCAGTAGTCAGGAGTGCAGATGCTCATGAGGCCTTGGAAGGTGGGGAATAACTAAGAACCAGAAGCATTCCCTCTGCCAACAGGAGATGGAGAATGCCTGGAATGAATACCTGAAGTTGGAGACCGATGTGGAGCAGCTAAGGCACACCCTACAGGAGCAGCACAGAAGAGCGTTTTTTTTCCAGGTAAGCCGGGGGCTGTTCACTCCTCCTGAGCTCTCGTTGACTCTGGCAACCTTCATTTGTCTGTAAAACAGGACTGTGTCCTCCCCAAAGACTTTCTCTCCCTCAACCTGCTAGTCATTCCTCTAGCCACCTCTCTAAAGGGCCACCCCAAACTCTCCCTTGGCAATCCCTTTCCTCTGGCCAGATTGTGTTGAGAATCCTCATCCCCACTTCCCCTGAACCTTTGTCTTCAAAGACAAACCTTGGGGCATTTTTGTCAGGGTTCTATTACTGGCCATTTCAGAAAATAGACCAGGGAGAAGACAAGTTCTAACCTTAGAGATGTGAGAGTGATCTGTGTTCCTATAGTTCTTGGACCCATCTCGGGTTCCTAGATCTTCAGTTAGACAGACAGCAGCAGGAAGCACCTCTTTTCCTCCTCGGATTCCTAAAGATAGATGCTATCAAGCTTCCACCTGAGGAGGCAGTGTGAATTCCTCTGGTCTCCAGGTGGTCATTTACATTTCTGGAGGCCAGGCTGGCTGATACCCATTTCTATGACTCGGGGAAAGTTGTCCTTAGGCGATTTCCTGCTCTCTAGTCTTTTCCTCTACCCTTAAAAACCAGGCCGCTCCACTGATAGTCTGGTCTCTGTCTCCACGGTGAGAGAATAAAAGGCCTGTGGAATTTCTCCTCCGTTTTGGGTCCCTCAGCTGCCTTGTGTTCTCTCATTGTGGGGAAATAAATTCAATTTATTTTCATTTAGCAAGCCTCAATTAAGACTTCATTAATCAGCAAATGCAATGCCAGTTTTAGAGCTGGGCTTGTTAATTAATGAACTAATTCTAGTCAAGATTTGAATGATTTAATGAATATGCTGGCTCTCCAGGCATTAGCACCAACTGAGGAAAATACCCTCACAGCCATTGACTCAGACCCTCCAGTAGGTTTTCAGAGGCTGTAAATCACAGAGAGATCACTCATCTTTCTCCCATGGAGCGATTAGTGAATTTGAACTGTCTGCCTTTGGGTTGGGAGCACAACTCCTTATCCACTGGACGAATAGAGCCTAAATAAGTAAAGGAAATGTGAGTGGACTTAGGACCGTTCTTGGGGTCTTGCTATCCTTCTGCTCATGGAAAAATTCCCAGCGCGCTGGGTTCAGGATTATACCAAGGACACCTGGCTGGCCTGGGAAGTGCCTGGCAACTAGTCTCAGTATCTGTTTCTGTTTATTTGTGGGGTTTAAAAAAATTTTGTTATTTCTTGTTTTCCTTTTCATTTTTATATTTTCTAAAACTACTATAAAGCTATTACTGACAGTATCTTCCAAACAATTACATAGAGTATGATTTTTAAGCTAACCTATATCCTGCGATATATATCTTCTTAAACATCAGTGATTGACATTCCTTTCATCAGTAATTGTATTTTTTTTTGTTCATTACGTCTCTATAATGATACAAGGAATACATGAAGACACCTTTCTGCAAATGCTGAATAAGAGATGCAGAAATTAAAACTCTTCCTCCCACTCCTTTCTGCCCTAATTCTCTCACCTTCCCTGTGAGCTGTCAGTGCTGTCCATGTGCACTGTAGCTCGCCAGACTGTTCATATGCATTTCCAAACTTGTGCATATATACATATATGGAATCTTATTGTTCATTGGAGGAGAGAGGCAGATAAAGGTTTACTTAAAGAGAATCATAATTACATGATTCAGAAGCTTACTCTTTTTTGTCATACATTTATGCCCTGGGGATCTTTCCAGGATAATATCTACACCTCCAAATGTATGCTCTCCAATACAGTATATACTTAAGATTAAATAAAATTAAAACATTTATGCCTCTGTAGGAAGTGAGGAATTATTCCTTAATGGATACATAGCTTCTCTTTAGGATGATGAAATGAACTGTAGGGATGATTGGACACCATTATGAATATAATTGATGCCACTGACTTTTGCTCTTAATAATGGCTAAAAATGAAAATATCATATATATTTACCACAGTAAAAAACATTCATGGAAGGGAGATGGTTAGGAAAAAAGTTTGAAAGTCTTTTTAAAGCATCAAACCTCACTCACTGGTGCCAGGACGGCTCCCAGTCATGGTGACCCTCCTTTGGGGTTCTGAGGTTGTATCTCATTATGGGAGGAGACTGCCTGTCTTTTCCCCAAGGAGCAGCTGGTGAATTTGAACTGCTGACATTTTGATTAGCAGCCTAACACTTTATGCATTATGATGCTGGGGCTTCCAAAAATTTCCTTAAAGGGACAGTAATTGAAAAAGGTCCCACTGACTGCTAGGTCCAAATATCACCAGGGCTGAAAGTTTAGCAAATGGACTTTTCTTTAATACATGCCTCAGTGAAAGTAGCCTGAGGCTGTCAATGCAGATGAGCCCTGAGCAAAGAAAATGGCCTTGGATTCCTGGGTGGGAGGACATATCCTGGGAATGGTGGTATTCTGGTTCAGTAGTTTCATCCTGGACCTTTTCTCTCAGAGATGTTATAACACACACACACACTCCCCCCCCCCCCATTGTCCTGTTATCTTGGTTTCTAGCTTTCCTTCTCCGTCTGGTCTACCTGCCTGTATTGGAAGGAGGGTCTGGCAGGCTTGCTTGTCTTAGAGGGAGGAGGGGAGCGAGGTAAAAGTCAAGTAAAATGGAGTTGCTCCTGTTCAGCCTAATGTTAATGATAGAAAACTTAGAAACAGTGCTTCTTAACCCCTTAGTAATTAATACCTCTTGAGAGATTTATTTTAAAACTCTTAAAGAACAAATTGAAGCTATAACCACATTTCATTAAATAATATGAACTAAAAATCTGTAAGTTGTTTCATTTCCAAAACAGCTAGTTTTACTGATGACAGTTAGCAGTTATTCCTCTCACTCTCACTGCTGTTGTGTGTGAAGCAACTCATACCTGACATACTAGCAAATTTTTTGAGGCTCTAAATCACATGGGAGATTGTTCATCTTTCTCTAGTGGAGCACGTGGTAGATTAGAACGACCTGCCTTTCAGTTGGCAGTGCAACTCCTTACCCACTAAGCTGCTAAACTCCCTATTCAATTTTGTATTTATCAAATAAAAAGCATCACTTAGTATAAAAAAAAAGCTTAGTCTCTCAAATAAAATAGACAAACATAAGAGAAACATTTTTCTTTCTGTTATCAAGTACTTATACATAAAAGAAGCCTACATTTTTTAGCCTCATAGAATATATATTATGCCACAGTTACATTAGAAACATTCCAAATGCTAGCACAGATACATATTTCCACAATTAGCAGAAAGTTCTATTAGACAACATTGGTTTAAGTAGTTATTAATGGCTGCAAAATAGTTCATGGTTTGGATATTCCATGTTTTGTTTTGTTTTCCTTGATCTTTTCATGATGCGTATTAACTTAGTCCCATTGTTTACAAACAGCAGGAGTGAGTATCCACGTAACCTGCCTTTCCAAACTTGGTTTGTTTTTTGTTTTTTTCTGAGTACAGTGTACTTTATTGATGGTACATTACAAGATGGGTTCTCTAAGCCCCTCCCTTTCTCAGGAGGAGCAGATGGAATTGTGTCAAGGATGTGAGATTCTCAGTATGTAGCCCCGGAAGCTGAGAATCAATCTCTCTCTCTCTCTGCCTCTGTTTCTCTCTGTGTCTTTCTGTCTGTCTCTACCCCCTCCCACTCCCCCCCAACCCCCACTGCTATTACTGGGGCTGGTGGTCCAAGGAGCTCTTATTCTTTGGAGGCCATATGAACCATCAGGTTGACCACTCTGTTGCTGTAGCCAAATTCAGTGTCATAACAGGAAATGAGTTTGTCAGAGTGGTCATTCAGGGCTATGCTGGCCCCAGAATCAAAGTGGAAGAGTGTCACTGTGAACGTCACAGACGACCTGTCTTCAGTGTATCCCTGTGTGCCCTTTAGGGGCTTTTCTGATGCCTGCTTTACTACTCTCTCGATGTCATCATATTTGGTAGCTTTCTTCAGATGGTAGGTCAAATTCACGACTGACATACACACACACTGGGAATGGGAATGAGGAAACTCATGCCAGTAGGTTTTCTGTTCAGCTCAAGGATGACCTTGCCCATGGCCTCGGCAGCACCGGTAGATACAGGGATGACAACCTTGCCATCGTAGAGGGACTCATGACCACAGTCTATACCATCACTGCCACTCAGAAGACTGTGGATGGCCACCCTGAAAGCTGGTTAAAACTCATTTGTTACACCCTGTGACACCAGAGTCCTTTAAATATTGATGTTGATGTTGCTGTTATTGTGTACTGTCACGTCAGAACCGACCCATAGCTGACCCTCCAGTGGGTTTGCAGAGACAGTTAATGTCATGGGAGAAGATTGTCCATCTCTCTCCCAGGGAGCAACTGGTGGGTTTGAATGGTGTGCCTTTGCAACACAGCTTCTTATCACCAGACCACCAGAGCTCTTTTAAAATATTGATAGATACTGACAAATTGCCCTCTAAAAAGCTACTGATTTCTCATTCTACCAATAGTGAATGAGAGTATGCAACCTGTTTTCTTACATCCTTGCCAACACTTGATGTTACCATTTTTTCTTTCTTGTTTAGATTTGCATTTACTCCATTACTAGTGGTGATGTTATACATTGTTTCATATGGTTAGTGTCCATTTAATTCACCTGTGCATAATTTCACAATCATTTAAAATGTAGCAGGCCCAGGACTGGTTTCCTCCTTTCTATAAAACAAATAATTCCTAGGCTGTTTAGGAACCAGATCTCTGAGGTTTGATTTCTTCCCAGACCTGGGAGTTGCTCATGCTTACTTTGAGTGCCACGGTGACTTGGGAAGCTCACAAAACCCTGCTTTGGGCAAACTCCATGCTGCCTTCTGTGTTGTCATAAATAGCTGACTTTATTTATGAAGACTCTCACAGTTAACTGGACAAGAATAGACCACTCAGAAAACTGAGTGAGGGACCATGATGAAGCTCCCTGTAGGCATTACCACCCTTTCTTCCAGGAGAGGAGTGTAGGCCTTTGCTGAAGGCAGTATATGAAAGACTTCCTAGTGAGGTTCCGTCTTTCATACTTTGGACATGTAGTGAGGTGCAGCTATTCCTTTGAAAGGGATGTCATGCTTGAAAAGATAGAGGGTCAGCGAAGGAGGAGAAGAACCCCAACAAGATGGATTGGCATGGTGTTCAACACTGGGTGTGTCAGAGATGATGAGGATGGCACAGGATAGAACTAGGTTCAGGTTGGCTGTTCATAGGGTTGCCATTTGTACTCAACTCAATGACACCTAACAATAACACAATGCACCATGGTATGAGAATACAGGAATGAACCCCCACACTCCTAATCCTCATAAGTGACTCTCACTTTGTCCTTAAATTCTGACATTCCACTTCCCTCAGGGGAAGACAGATCCCTGAGTGTCACAAAGAGTTTGTGATCAATTATTAACCTCAAAAAGGATAGTTTAAGTGCACTAGTGGCACCATAGGAAAAGGCCTCTGATTGGCTTCCATAAAAATGTTGGCTAAGAAAACCCTGTGGGGTAGATCTACTCTAACGCAGTGTTCCCTTGGCCTTTGCTTCGCTCTGCTCTACTCTCACATATGGGAATGATGAAAGGTGGAATGGTAGCAAGAGAGCAGATTGACATAGGTCTTACCAGAGAACTATGGAAGGAGGATAGTGTGGCTTTAATCCCATTCTGCTCTCAATGTTCTGCCTGGGGAACTCAGGTTTGGAGACAGTCCACTGCCAATTTAACATACACTAGGTTCAATGCTACACCTTTCTACATTAGGCACTCCGCATTTAGACTTTAGTGTGAAGTTGAGTGTCAAGCCCATTGTCTGCTCTTCAGCTCTGAGGCTGTGTTTTGGTATTGGGAAGCTGGAGAGTGTGTGAATGTGGCATAGATGCCCACTTGATCAGGAAGCCCTCAGACAACTGTTAACAACTGATGGAAGGTATGTGATCAGGGAATTTCATGTGACTGACCTTTATTTATCTCACATGTTATTATTTGCTGTCAAATCAGTTTCAACTCCTGGCAACTCCTTGCAGGTCATAGTAAAGCTGTACTCCACATAATTTTTTGTTTTGTCGTTGGTTTTTTTGTTTTGTTTTGTTTTGTTTTTGTTGTGAGTCAGATCTAACTGGCGCAGGAGGAGATTGCCCTTCCTTCTTCAGTGGAGTATCTGGTGGATTCAAACCGCGTGCTTTCAGGATTTCAGCACAGCTTCTTGCCACTAGGCCACCAGAGCGCCCTTTTCATAGCACTTTTAAAACAAAGATCTTTTGTAAGCACACTGCCAGGCTTTTCTTCTGAGGTACCTCTGAATGAATTCAGACCTTTTAGTGAGTAGTCAAATATGTAACTGTTTTTGCCACCAGAAACTCTACTGCTAGGTACCAGGCCTTGTTATGATGTGTCATAGCACACAGTGTAGGTGCAGGATCTTGTTGGTCCACACCAAGTACCATATGGTATAAAAGCTCTTCTGGCTGGTGTGTCTTGAAAGTGGCAGAAACTGTGATTCTTCTTTTCCTTCAGTCGGTGAGATAAGACTCCTGTTATGTCCTCATTATCATTTTTTAAAGTCAAAAGTAAATTGCACTTGGTGTTTAGCAACCCCATTAAAGGGTGTCTGCAGCCCCTTGGCTACAATAGACCCTGCTAACCTTACCCTGGTGCCTCTTCTGTTCTTGGTTATGACTTTGAAGTTTGCAGATGATAATACCATCTTGCTCCTTTCCCACTGTATTTTTTAAAGAACAACTTTATTGAGATAAAATTTCCAAACCATAAACTTTGCCTCTTAAAGTAAACAGTTCAGTGATTTTTAGTGTTTTCAGAGTTGTGCAACCATCACTCCCACTAATTTTTATAACATTTTTATCACCCCCCCAAAGAGATCTTATACCCATTTCATAGTCACGTCTCTAGAACACTTTCCAACTCTCTACACCCTAAGCAACCTCTAACGTACTTTCCAGTTCTATAGTTGCCTGTTCTGGGCATTTCATAGAAATTAGATCATACAATCTGTTTTCTAGTTCTGGTGCCCTAGGGGTGAGAAACTGAGTGGTCCTTAGCTCTGGTGGCCTAGAGGTGAGAAACTGAGCTACAATCCCCAAGGCTCACAGTTCAAATCCTCTAGCTGCTCTGCAGGAGAACGAACAGTCTGCTCCCTTGTGATTAATTGCCTCTGAGAACCCACTGGAGAGTCAACTGTGGGTCATTTCTGACTCGATAGCACATAAAAACAACAGCACGTTTCACATAAGTTTTACACAATGAATTCATAGAAATGGAATCATACAAAAATGACCTTTTGTGACTAATTTTATTCACTTAGCACAGCTTTCAAGGTTCATCCATGATGTAGCATGTATTAGGATGTTGTCTCTTATTTGTGCTATGTAATATTCCACTAATCATTGTACTTTTTAACTAACCTCCAGTCCCAGGATTCAGCTCCATCTTTAAATTTTGAGCGTGACTTGTCCTTCAGTTCTTGCCTTTTTTTCCTCTTCTGCCATGGTTACATGAGGCAATGTTGTTGTTTTTTTTTTTTTAAATTAGGTGAGACTAGATAATTTGGACTGGTAAAAGCTACTCTGAACTGTCTCCCTTGCATTTTGGACTAGTCTCTGTTTGTGCTTCTGCCAGCAGGCTGTCAATCAGACTTAGGACTCACCCTGGCAGAGTTCCAAAGGAATGTTGTTGCCCCCTCAGCACCCAGGGTGAGGGGCTGTATCAGAAACAGTTGGATGAGTCTCAAGAAGAAACTTTTGGTAAGGAGTAAAGAAGGAAGTGAACCACCATTATTTTTCACCCCTCAGGAGAAATCACAGATACAGAAGGATCTGTGGAGGATTGAAGATGTCATTGCAGGTCTGAGTGCAAATAAAGAGAACTTCAGAATCCTGGTGGAATCGGTCAAAAATCCAGGTGAGTGAACCCTGGATGTAGGGGGACTGGGCCTTTGCTGGAAGAATGTTGGGGAGCAGCACATGGATGGTTGAGATGACCCTTGAAGGGTCAGCTGTATGAGGGTGGGTCTCATGGTACTAACTTATTTCACTTGTTGTCCAAGGAAGAAGGTCTTTGTTCCACCTTAAGCTTTTTTTTAACCCTTCACACCCTTTAGAAAGAAAAACAGTGCCTTTATTTCCTCATCCGCCGGTGCCTTCACTCTCAACCTCTGAGAGCAAGTCGTCCCTGCAGCCCAGCCCTCCAACCAGCCCTGTGCGAACCCCTCTGGAAGTTCGACTCTTCCCTCAGCTGCAAACCTATGTGCCGTACCGACCTCACCCACCCCAGCTGAGGAAAGTGACGTCCCCACTTCAGTCACCAACAAAGACGAAGCCCAAAGTTGTGAGTTTTGATGTCCAGGAGCTGAGCAGAATCATTTTCTCTTGGGAAAATAGAACGAGCCAGAGTCCTAAAGAAGCCCTGAGTCCTGATCAGTAGATAGTGTTGACCCTGCCATTTGCTTCTGACTCTCTGAGCTGCAAGAGCCTTAGATACAGCCTTGACCAGCCCTCCCGATTTGCAGTTGGGATAACTGAGATTCAACAAGAGGACTTCGCCCCTGACAGAGAGGTGTGGGGTTGTTGATGTGGCCATGCAAGTTGTTCTTGTTATGTACAAGTGGAACCCACTCATAGCTGACCCTCTAGCAGGTTTTCAAAGACTGTAAATTACACAGGAGGAGATTGACTGAATTTCTCCTTTAAAGCAGCTAGGGCATTCAAACCACATGTTTTTGGATTAGCAGCTCAACTCCTTACCACTAAACCAGAACTCCATGCAGACCTGCAGAGGGATTTCCCAGCGAGTATTCAAGATAGTGGGTGTTAAGCTCAACCCAATCAACTACCGTCATTACCTTCATCTATAGTAGGATGCATGTGATCATCACAATAACCCCAAAGAGTAAAGGTAGGAAGAGCAGGCAAGACAACTCAAGGACAGAGATGTTGAGATTTGCTTGAGTTCTTCATGTTCACTAGTGAAGCCAACTAATCCCCTGGCTGTGTTTTTTTTTCTATGCTATCTGTCACCTACTTGGACATTCAGGTCCTCGGTCAGATCTGGAGCCCATCATGTTGACTTGGTAAACACCTTACGGAACTTAAGATACTTGAAGGAAACAGATGATGTGGTCAGCTGATAAAGTGAGAGTTCTTGCCTTCAGGACTAGTTGTCTGACTGAAGAACACAGAGTTGGGAGAGCAGTTTGGTCCATGTGTCAGAGAAGCTATGTAGCTGGGACCTTGCTGTAGGGGTTTCCAAGTTTTAGCCAATGAAGACTTAGAGACACCTTGCTTAGAATTGCCCAGACAGTGTGTTTAGGACTTCTTCTGAGGTCAGCACACAGATCTGAATAAATGATATGAGATTCTCTGCTAGATGTCTCACTATCTGCCTGTTTTCAGTTGGCCCTAGAACTACCAGATACTCACCAGGACCTTGCTTGGGTGTAGATTCATGAACCAGCCAGAGGAGTTGCTGAATTTCTTCATGTTGAGATGCCCTTTCTTACCGTTGATCTAAAGGCAGGTTGGAGTCCCAGCCATAGAATAGGATGTAGGGGGAAAAAACAACAAAAACAAAACCAACACCAAACAGCATAAATGATGGAGTCAGGTCGATGACCACATAGGCAGGATGCCTGCTGGTTAGACAAGAAACATAAAGAACAGGTGCCATCCAGGGAGCTGGAATACCTTGTTTTCTCACTGTATTCTTCAACAAACCCATTTTCTGTTTCTGATGCCAAACGAGTAACTTCTTGTTGTTAAGTGACACCAAGTCAGGTACAGCTCACAGGGACCCTGTGGAAATAGATCTGTACTCTGTCCTATCCTGCACCATCTTTATCATCCTTGACACATTTGAGTCCATTGCCACAGATACTGTATCAGTCCATCTCATTGAAGGTCTTCCTCCTTCGCTGACTCTTCATTTTTCCAAGCATAATGTTCCTCTCCAAGGAATAGCCTCTGCTAACAACATGACCAAAATATGTGAGGTGAAGCTTCACCATCTTTGCCTTCAAGGAGCATTCTGTTGCACTTTCTTCTCTGTTTGTTAATTTTGCAGTCCATGGAATATTCCACACCCTTCTCCAATACCACAACTCAAATTCCTTCTCATTCATTGTCCAGCTCAAGTAACTAGGAATCAGTAATCACATGGGTTCCTCCTCACAGCTAGATCCTCTGTGATCCAGGGCAGGACTTTTTCAACTTGGTTGAGCATCAAGGCCACCCAGTGTGTAGGGGAGAGGGGTTTTCTCTCCTGTTCTTCCAGTAATGCATGTAGGCTCACCAGTTTTACCAATTACTTGTTTGCGCTATTAAAAAAAATATTGTGATAATGTGTGTGCAAAGCAAAATTTGCCATTTTAACAATTTTTAAATGTACAATTTGGTGGCATTTATCACACTTCCAGGATTGTACAATTCTCACCTTCATCTACATCCAAAACCTGTTCATTACTCCAAAGAGAAACTTTGCCCCAATTAGCAGCAAGTCCTTCCTTCTTCTCCTTCAGGCCCTGGTAACCACTAGATCTGCTTTCTCGGGTTATGATTTTGCCTCTCTGAGACAATTCATGTAATTGGCCTTAGACACTGTTTGCCTCCTGTATCTGGCTCATTTCACCCAGCACAATGCATTCTAGGTTCATCCATGTTGTGTATTTACTTATTATTTATGTTATATTCTGAAGCAATATCCATCCTGAAAATGACATAAAACAGGAGTCTGTCATCTGATAGGTTACTTAAAGGGCCCTCAGTTAGATGGATTGACAGTGACAGTAACAGTGGGCTCGAATATATCAGAGAGTGTGTGGATGATGCCAGACAGGGCAAGGCTTTATTATTCATAGAGTTGCTGTGAGTTGTAGTTGACTAAACAGCACTTAACACCATTCATATCATTCAACCCAGGAACTAGACTCAGACCAAGAATCAGAACTTTCCATCAGCTCCTGCCCTTGGGCTTGTGGGCCCTTCCCTGTCTAGACCCTTTACACCAGAGGTAGTTACTGCCATAATTTTTTTTTAAAGAATTTCCTTCTTTTTCCTTATAGTTTACCTATCTCTTTCTGCTTTCTTTAGTACTTTAATTCTGCCTGCATATACTATCGTATCAATTCCTTTGCATCTTTTCAATATTTATTTGTGTGATTAATTTACATAGTTGCTTATAGTCGTACCTCTTCCATTTTGCTTGACTCATTTTCTTGAATTTAATGTAATTTAAAAAAATTAGTATTATTCTCAAAGGATAAAAAAACTAAGGCATGAAAAAAATAATAAAATGCCTCCCTTCCACTCTTATTCTTCAGATACTTTCTAATTTTATCTTTCTAGAAAGCTTTTTAGAAATTGGTGACTGTCTTGTCAAGTGAGAAACCACAGATCCTTGGAGAACCAGTGGCTATCTTAGGCAGGCAGCTAAACTTCTACACATTCATGAGATGCTTTTAAAAGAATGTGGATAAATCTTTGCAAAGCAAGCTGTGAGTGCCCTTTCTTGTTCTTTCCAATGTTTGGAAAAACAAAGCAAAATTAGACTAAGAATAAGGGACTTTAGGAAGAGGAAGGGCACCATAGTCATTGGTCTGTAAGAGTGGGTGTTCATGGAAGTCAGTGGCCAGTATGTTGATCTGTGGAAGAACCCCAGCACTCAGAAAGCACCATAGACAGGGAGATTATGTTGAAAATAGTTACATTCATCCCGGCCTACAGAGTGGGCTGCAATGGGAGGCAATGAATCACCCATCCCACAACCTATTCACTCATCAAGTCATGAAGCATCAAATACTTGGAAACTCTGAACAATTCTCCTAGAAAGGGCAGGAGGGTACAGACCTCCCTTGCTCAGCTTCCTGACCTGCTGAAGGATCCAGAGTTGTACAGACGCAAGACACCTGTTTGGTCCAGCACCCTGGGGTGGGATAGATGTTTATTCTTTAGTGATACCAAAACCTACATTTAGTGTTGCCAGCAGTTTGGCATGGACCAAGAGCATGGGAGACCCAAGAAATTCCAAACTTATAGAACATGGTGGAGTTAAACAGTCCCTCCAGGTCACAGAGAGATAGGAAATGTGTGAATCAGAGGGAACAATGGGATGGAGCAGAGAATACCTTCCTCTTTCACATTTTAGCCAGGAGAACAGAGAGAACTCCCTGGCCAAGGGGCCATGCCCTGGGCATGGCCATACTTCTGTTGTAGCCCTTCAGGCCACACTGTTGCAGTATCACTGTTACCATCCCACTGTCCACATCTCTACCATGAGACACTAGTTCTGGTTCTTTTTCTGAACAGGAAGATGAGGCGCCTCCCAGGCCCCCACTTCCCGAACTCTACAGCCCAGAGGACCAGCCGCCGGCTGTGCCCCCTCTGCCAAAGGAGGCCACCATCATCCGACACACTTCCGTGAGGGGCCTCAAGCGGCAGTCGGACGAGAGGAAGCGAGACCGAGAGCTGGGCCAGTGTGTGAACGGGGACTCACGGGTGAGCAGGGAGGGCATCTGGACTCGTGCCACCGAGGGGGAGGGAGAGGGAAGGCAGTGTGGGTTTTTACCCTGTCTGGCCTGGGTGGATATGACAGACTAGGGCTCCGTCCACAGGTGGAACTCCGATCCTATGTCAGTGAGCCTGAGCTGGCGACCCTCAGCAGTGACACAGCCCAGTCCTCCCTTGGATTCGTGGGCCCTGAGAGCAGGTACCAGACGCTGCCAGGTAGAGGTAAGGGAAGACCCTGCCCAATCTCCATGAGACCCTCTCCCTTCCCCATACCCTAAACCTTCACCGCTGCTCTCACCTTCAGCCCTGTGGGCAGCGGCTGTCAGGAGGCCCTGAGGAGCCCACTGCTCCTTCCTTGAACCCAAATCCTGATTTTCCCCTTTTCACATCCAACTTGGAAACAGTAATAGCAATTACTGTAGAGCCAGGCACCATGTGACCTTTAATGAGCTTAAGAATCCTATGAAGGAAGTGCTATTATTATCCTATTTTAGAGGAAAGAAACGAAGGCTCAGAGAAAGTAAATACTTAGGTAAGTGAGGAGCCAGAAAACAGCCTCAGTGTTCTAACTCCAGAGTTCATGCTTTAGTCACTGTCCCCTGTGGGCTGGGATGTTGGGCGGCTGCCATGCATTAGGCCATCTCTTGCTTTCTGTGTCATTCAGAGATTCAAAGAGCTCTTTCTTTAAAGAAACCCACTTTATCTTCAGTTAGGCCTTATTGTCATTGCCCTTCCCTTATCCTTTGGGATACGGATGAAACAGACTCTTGGGCTCTGCTCATCCCCCAGAGCCAGACCCTCCTCAGAAATTTCCTAAAGGGAAAGCCTTGTGCCCTCTCTGCACCTGGGCCTCCTGGGTCCTCTGAGCAGGTCCACAGCTCTCTCACTGGAGCTTCCTGCCTGCTCTCAGAGGTGGAAGGTCAGGTGTTCTGTTGACCAGGTGAGGAAGCAGAGGACAAACAAACATGATTTGGTTCCTGCAGAATATATGACGTCCATCCCACCACACTGGCTGAGTGGCTGTGTCCTGAGCTGGCCCCTGCGAGGGTGTTTTGCTGAGTTGGGGCCATAGCAGAACCTGGCACTGTGCGCTGGGGTCCTTTTCCTTCAAGGAGTCTTTATCAGTGGTGGTGTTAGTAGCTTTGGGGCAGGGCTCTTCTTGATTGTCTAGGAGTCCTCGGTCCTTGCAGGCAGTTTATCATTCCTTCATCTCATGTACCACATGCCAGTGATGTTCTCAGTCAGTGTGATGTCCATTTCCACATGTTCAGGGAGCACTCCAGTGAGAGAGTTACTGCTACTGGAGAAGCGTAGTGGGGCCAGGCTAACCAAGGACGAGAACAGTATGATCAGCAGTATTCTTAGCTGTGTGACCTTAGACACGTTCCTTAACTCCTCAGGGCCTTAGGTTGTGCATCTTTACAATGATCAAAGAATGCCTATTTTGTAGGACTATTGTGTCAAAATTTATTTTAAAATGACTGTAAATCCACTAGATGCTCTACTGAAGAAGGAGGAGCAATCTCCTCCTGTGCTAGTGGGATCTGATTCGACAGTACACAACCACAACAACAACAAAGCCTGTACAGTGTTACATAAGTGCTTGATAAGTACTTGATGCCTTCCTCTTTTTCATCATTCATTTATTCATTCTTTAGTCAGTCAACCAGGAGTTAAAGAATTTACAATCTAGTTATAGAAACAAGTCTTTTGATACTGTGGTCAGTGCAATAACCAATAGACTGTGAGGTCTAGGAGATAACTAACTCTAAAAGCCTGCAAAGTAGAACATTTGCTTTGGCTTGTGAAGGTCTATGCTTGCTTCTCTTTCTGAAAGATAGACCCTCCCTCCTCTCTTGAAGATATATCTTTCTTACTTAATAGTGTTTACTCTGTGTATCTTTGTGGGATGAAGGGCACCTCCTCATTCTGCCTGCCAGCAGCACAGGTCTTCTGCGTGTGAGGGAGTTCCTAGCAGAGGCCACAGGTTGACTGGAACATTGTCCCTCATGAGAGCCAAGGGGTGGTCCTGGGATGGACCCCCCATCCTCTACCCTAGAGTTCTTACCCTTTCAGCCTTTTAGGGGCAGAGGAGAAAGAGACAGAAGAGTAGCTCATTGGCTGGGCCTTCTTGGTGACCATTGTGGGAGTGAGAGGTGGTTAGGAAGGGGCTGAGCTGTCCTCCCTGCCATGAACACACTTGCTTGTCTCTCCTGCTTCAGGACTCTCAGGATCCACGTCAAGGCTCCAGCAGTCGTCCAGCATTGCTCCCTATGTCACCCTCCGGAGAGGTGCTGAAAACATCAAGATGACCTTCCCTGTGAGTGGCTCTGAGGGGTTTCTGAGTTGCTCATGATTCCCTCTTCTGTAGAGGGCGGGTGATGATTTGTGAGCCTGTGGGCTCAGGGGTCCCCTGGCACCATGTGCTCAGTGCTACCTTCCACATAGCCCTGTGCATTTCCTGGGAATCCCCCCTTTCTCTTCATGGGTGGGAGCACTGGCGCATGTGGCCTGGGCTCTGGCCTTGTCATGTCATGTGTTTGAGCCTCACTGGCTACATCCGCAGGATGAGGTGCTTTCCAGAGGGTGAGGTGCGTGCAGCTCAGGGAGTGCTGTGAGCATCATGGGCATGACTTAAAGAACAAGACTGGTGTGGTGGCTGGCCTCTGTGTCCCCAGTCCAGCTGGTCCATCTGCCTCTTCCCTTTCCTCCTCTGCAGAGACCCAAGAGTGCCTTGGAGCGCCTGTACTCAGGGGATCACCATCGGGGCAAGATGAGCGCGGAGGAGCAGCTGGAGCGCATGAAGCGACACCAGAAGGCCCTGGTCCGGGAGCGCAAGAGGACGCTCAGTCAAGGGGAGAGGGCAGGCCTCCCCTCCTCCCGCTACCTCAGCCAACCTCTGCCCGGAGACCTCGGCTCAGTATGTTAGGAGGGAGGCAGGCAGGGCTGGGTCAGGGAGCAGAGCTTCCCCTCAGGCTGGGCAGGGCACCCGGTTCCCCTAAACACAAGCGTGTCATCCTCCCTGAGAGTGGGCTGGGGACCTGGAGAGTTCAGAGAATAGCCTGTGAGGCTGCTTTCCCACAGCCTGGGCTTTTTCGTATGTGAGCTGGTCAGAGAGTGCCTCAGAACCGGAGCAGGAGTGATGGTGTCTTAGCAGGAGGCCAGAAGCCTGAGAACATAGGCAGCCTCCTGAGCTTTGAAAGGGGCCTTGGCAGGCATTTGGAATCTCAGCTGAATCAAGGACTTGGGAAGATAGGGTTTGAGGAGTGGAGGAGGAGGATAGTGATATGACTTGATGAGGAGGAACACATGCAAATCAGCCAGTCTCCCAAACCTCCAGGCAAATGTCCTGTAGGGATATTAGCTGGAGCTGCTGTCCGTAACCCTGAAGGCTCGTGGTGGTAACACAGCTTGTGGTGCTAAGAGGCCTCATGGTGCCCCCAGAGAGCTGGGGAATCAGTGCTTCCCCCTGGTGGCACTCCCGGGCACTGCAACCTGTCCACAGTTACTAGGTCCCTTTTGAAAACATTCGGTTCAACTCTTCCCCGTTGTTTAAAATCTTGTGTTTCCCAAGCTCTCTAGCCTGACTGTGCTTTCCCTAATTCATTTGCACAAGCTCTCTTGCTTTTAGTGGTACTGTTCATTGCCCCTCTAATCCTGCCTGATTGTGTTTACAAAAGCTTCTGATTTGCATTGGACATTCTCTAACTGGCCTGTGGTCTTTGTTAGCAGGCTTTGTAACAGCAGCCCTTGTCTTGATGTTCTAGTGAGCAACCCAAAATATGACCCACCTTTCTGCTGTCCCCATCTGTGCAGGCCAACTGACTCATAATTCGCTTGTCCCAAATGCCGTCCGCAAACTAACACCCCTGCCTAAGGACCATGGCCATTGGCAGAGGTTTGGGTTTTACACGTTCATCCAAGTCCATGGACAGTAGAGTCCTTGGACAGTAGATACAGACTTGAGAGATTGCACATCTGAATAAGTTCTGCCAAGTCTGAGGTTACTGGGTTCCAATTCCTCTGGTCCCATCACACGATTTCTTATGGAAAACCTTTTGTGTACATAGTGCTTAATAACTTGAATAGACATAAAAATATACTATGTTCTGTATTCAGAGGGGCTCTCTGCAGCTGTTAGTACAGACACTAAAGGGGTAAAACTCAAGACACTTCTACTCTTAGAGCTGCAAACCTGATAACTTTTAAACTTTATAAGAAAATGTCATCTGGAATAGCACTGACCTTTTTACAACTTGTTGTCTCAGAAGTAGAAAGATTATCTAAAAATAATAACTTCAATACTTTGTAATTTTTGTCTTTAAAAAAAAAAAGCAAGAAAGACTGCTGTAAGTCTCCACGTCAATGCCAATAAACATGCTGCTTGATGAGAATGGATTGGCGTGGTTCTTCGCCAGGGGGCATCATAGGGTCTAGTGACCCGTGGCTGTTTGTGTAAACAATCAGGCGGGGCTAAAATGAGGCCTTGTCTCTATCTGAGCACTTGTAAGCATGTAAGAAAATGTTTGTTTTCTTTGTGAATCATTAAATTACTTTTACATCTCTGGAACTTCAATTGCCTAATCCTTTCAAGCAGTGATTAGAAGTCATCACTGCTGAGTGATTATGTTGGTCTGGAGTCAGTACTGAGAGCTTGTGCATGAATGGGTGATACGTGCTGTTGAGGCTTATGGGCTTGGTGATTGCGGGACCTCAGAGTCAACTGTGGCTGTTTGGAGTTCCATGAATTGGATGAGGTGAGAAGGAGGCATCAACCTAGGTTAAATAAACATTGCCCATAAAAAACCAAAAAACAACCATTGCTTTGGTTATGTATTTTGTCTCTGTTCAAGAGAAGAGAGGTTTGGAGCCTATTCCCTTTTCTCATCTACCTCCTCCTTGTCAAAGTCCTCTGAGGATGCAAGCCACATGTGTGTAGAAGGCCTCCAGTGACATGCTTGGACCATAAATTAGTTGAGTTTAATTTTTCCTCCTATGAAAAGATACTTGTTATAAAGTCAATGCTGCTGCATAGCCCTGGGAAAATTGTATTTGGTTTATCATCTCATTTTAAAATTATTTTTTTAACATGAAGCAAGCATCTACCCCAACTAGAGGACCTTTACCCAGCACCTTTCTGCCTCGGTGGCACCATGACACTCCTGCTTCAATGTTCCCAACCCTATGTGGGTGTGCACAGCACCCTAAAGAGAGGCTCTTGACTATTTTGTTGACTTAAAAGGACCTTGGAGGACTTGCTTCCATCATTATTTCTGTGGCTCCTGAACCAGCAGGCCTTCCCTGAGCTATGGGACAGCAGAAGGGGTAATTTCCTTCTCTGGAGTGCTGCTCTAGATTCTTTTTGGGGTCAGTCCTCTGAGACCCAAGAGCCTTCAGCATCCTTGGGTATTATTGCAAACTCAAAGCTTTGGGTCTTTTAGATCTGTGCCCTGGGGGTGTATATTTGAACTCTTGGGGGCCAGATCATAGAAAAAGCAGTCTGGAAAATGGCCATCTGAAGGGAACAAAAGCCACCTTCTCCATTAAACATGGAGTTATAACTCACGGTCTTTCACAAAGCTACTGCCTTATTTTAGATGAACAAAAGGTACATAATCACACAGCTTTTCCCTGCGGGTCACAGGCCCATCTTCTCCAGGCCTGTGAGGACCATCCTAAAGGTACTTGGCATGACTCTTTCAACAGGAAATGACTGCTTTTAACCCTCTTGTTCTGTTGCCAGTGGAAACGTGAGCAGGACTTTGACCTACAGTTGTTGGACCGGGCCATGCGAGGGGAAAGGAAGGACATGGAAGAGAATGGCTGGTTGAAAGTGCAGGCCATCCCCGTCACCGAGTTGGACCTGGAACCACAAGACTATGACTTGGACATCAGCAGAGAGGTGAGGCAGGAGCTTTCTCATGACCCAGGAAGCACAACCTTCAGGCTCCCAGAACGTCCAACCCTCCAGTGGTGCAAAGGAGTGTTGTCCTGAGTGGTTACAGGGCTATATGGTGCAGGAGAATGGATGGATGAATAGCAGCTTGAGACAAGAAAAGAGAGCCAGGCCTTTTTATTTAGGTTCGAATATTTTCTCTCAACATTTTTTGCGCAAATCATGTAACTCTCCTGTTCCTCTGTTCTTTCAATCTGAAAGTGATTTTAGTATTTTGCTTGGAAAATTAACAACGATTAGAAAGCCATGAGTATTTGGCTTGGCACATAACAGACACACAAAATAGTCCTGTTATTGTTGGAATACATTCTCAACCTTTGGTTGAAAAACCATAGGTTGGCCTTTGTAAAACGAGAGTAAGCAGCATGATGACAGCCTAGCCTGACTTTGGTAATTCCACAAAGGGGAACTATCCCATCAACAACATACACAGTACAAAGCTAAGTTCCTGTAAGATTAGACTTGGTCTCCTACGCTCCTACACCCACTTCTGCTAATTCCCACATTACTGAAATTAGCTCTACTGGGTGTGAAATCCATTGCAGTGACCCCACAGAACCATACTCATAGCTAGGGGGGTTATTAGGGAAATTAAAAGGCTTAATTAAGGTTGGTAGCAAGATATACACCCTTAGTCCAGAGAGCTTCTCAAGCATGCTTGTAGGCCCTTTGCCCTTCAGCCTACCGGCTTAGGTCAGTGTTAACAGTTAGTCCTGCCAGTTGTAACATCTCACCTCAGTTCTCCAGCAAGCTTGGTGAAGGGCTCTGGCTCCGACTCCTTGGGGCAGCAGTCTCAAGTCAGCTCTGTCAGGTGTTGGTCTCTGGTTCTCTGCAGGGGCTGCTTTTGCTCTTACATAGATCCTGGTCTGGCTGGCACAGGAGTCTCTGTCCCCAAAGGATGTGCCCTGCTTTCTCTGCTGCTTCTTCCCTGCTGGTAGTAAGATCTGCACCTTTGCAGCTAAACATGCTCAGTTTCCTTTGGTAGAATGGGAAAGTGGCCTAGTCTCGTAATGATCTGTTTATTCTCACCCCCTCTCGAGTTCTTGCCCACTCATGTGGTGAAAGTCAAAGCTATTTAGAACAATAAATCCCTCATACCACAATTTCTCATGAAAATTACTATCTTTTCCTTCTGTTAAGTAAAAACAATTCCAGTACTTAACTTTGTAGATGAAAACCCTGTTTATGCATGGGAAATAATCTCAGCAAACTAAAAGTAGGAAAGACTTTTTTCTAATGGTCGTAAAAGGTATTTCTCCTGCAGCCTTGCAACTTGGCCACTAAGGACAACTTGACAGTCAGACTCGGGGTAGTGCAGAGGAAATTTGAAGACCACAAGTAGTTTTGTTTTTCTAGACCAGCCTGCTCCTCCGAGATGGTGCACAGTTCTAGTCTGAATTTTCTGAGTGCCCTCTGGTGGTCAATATGCTTCATCACAGTAGATTTGGGAAAAACAGTAGCCCCTGCATTTTACCAAATAGCAGTACTACTACCCAAGTGAAGAGAAAGGGGCCTTGACTGGTGACTCAGGGCCTTGACAACCCAGGATTGTCTTTTATGATCTATATTGTGTCATTTAAAAACGCTGGAGAGCAGAGTTTATAGCTGTCGTCCATCCCTTAGCACAGAGTCGGCCACATAGCAGGCCTGGCACTCGAATGAATCGCACAGTTGCCTTAAGAAGGCTGCATAATGGAGTGGACTTGAGGGGAGGGATTGCCTAACAAGGAAAGAGTTTTACTTTTCAAGGAGAAGAGTGAATTGGGGGGTGGGGCAGGGAGAAAAGTACAACAGTGAATGACTGGAAACCTTAAGTCTCTCTAAACTTTCATTAAAATTAGTTTTTTTAAAAAAAGAAGTCCCGTGATTTCATATGCCCTGAAACCATACGAGAGGAAGTATACTCATTGGAAGAGCAGACTTAGGGGCACCTCAGTCCAACGTCCCCCAGGTTAATGTGATACAGGAATGGG